AGGCACGTGCATCAATCAGGTCACCCCATAAGGCCTTGATGATCAGGCCTAGTATCATGATGAAAAGATTACTGGGAAACATATAGCGCGAAGAAACTGGAGCACTTTACCAAACTCGACAGCGCGCGAAGAATCCCCTAAAAAGTCACATAGCCTGCGGCTCTGGACGTAGTGTCCGAAAAATTGCGCTCTCGTTGCAGTAAGGATGCACGGTCAGCGGGTCAGAGCATCGACTGCAGCATAGTCTGTCGCCAGCCAATAGCAGTTGACGGTGCGTAGCATATGTTTGGCCTATGCGTAACCGGCAAAGAGCAATCTCTTCCCTCCGATTGTCCCGAAAACACCATTGCCATAGTCCAATACAGGGTTTCGCGGACTGCAGCTTGTTGGCGCTCAGCGAGTTCCAGGGGAACTGCCGTCGCTTCTGCATAAGCGACAACATTGCGGGGTACATGTCCTGAGCTGGTAGTGGTGTTATAGGAATACGTGTCCCTGTCGTAGCGCGCTTTGCTGTCGCGTCAGCAAGATCGTTTCCGCAGATCCCACGTGACTTGGGATCCAGCATAGTACGACCGGTTTTCCTGCTCGATCCAGTGAGCTACGACGCAATTGAATGTCCTGGATCAATGGATTCAACGAGGAGAAGCCGCCAACAGCCAGGAGACCGCTCAAAGAGTCAGAAAGGATCAAATGCAAATTGCTATCGCCCACTTCAATAAAACAGAGACCTTTGCTGATGGCTATAAGCTCGGAAGTGTAGACCGACGCGTGTGAAGGCAGTGTAAATGGCCGTGTTGTGGATCCACACACAAAAGCGCACCCTACACCTGCATCCGTCTTCGGATGATCCGTATAAGTCATCATGTACCCGTCAAAGGAGTTAATGTGCTCTAAGGCTGCGCCTTTAAGTTTTGTCATGAGAACGCATTGCTTTTGCATGTTTGATAACGAAACATCCTCTCTTGGCAATGCTAGCTCCCAAGGAGCAGTCTTCATGGGTTTAGGTCTGATGACACGTGGTAGGTTGAGCCTGCTCGCGTCTAAAAGTTATCTTATTCGTACACAAAAGGGAGAAGTTTGTGCTGACCGTTGACGTAGAAAAAGCCTGCGTAAGCTATGCGAAACACTGCGTTGTGGGTGGGACGATCTGGGAGCTGCGCCAGCTTGCACGTGTAGCGTAGTCCCAGCATCTGCCTTCGCAATGCTAGTGGTGGCTCGTGAGCCTCCAGCAGAAGACTATCTATGGACGATGTTCGAAAAGCCCCTGTGGCGATACGTAGTGCGGTGTGATGCACCGTGTTCAAAGTACCCTTGAGTAGGTCTGATGAACTGTCATAGATAAAACAGCCGTAGTCAAGCTTTGAACGAATCAGAGAAATATATAGGTGTAAGTGTCCTCCTATCAGCACCGTGTGATGTATGTCCCACGCACCTTAGAATGTTAAGAAATTTTAAACATTTTTCGCGGATATTTCTTATGTGATCTCGTTATGTTAGGCGTCGGTCAAATCGTATACCCAGAAATTTCCCGGTACTCCCAATGCGACGCGTTGCCCGTACAGCTTGATTTCAATTTCAGGACAGTGACGGCGAAGTGATACTTTCTGTGATGTTTCGACTACAATGACGACGCTGGGGTCAAGGGTATAACTCCAGCCTCGGTGACCAAATAACCAAGCACAGTTTCATGCAAGATATTTAGAGATTTAAAACCCAGCCAGCACAGCTTACACGTGGAGGCAAGAAGCAACTATCTAGCAAACTGGATGAGTATAATAAGCCCAGGCGCGATACTATTGACATCTATAATCCAGATGCTGGTGCTACTACCGCCAACTATGTGGACCATGAAATATCCTCCCAAAATAATTTGCGCTCCGAAGCTGTGACGTTGAATGCAAAACAAATACCTGACATACGAAAGAACATACGCTTCCCTGGAACTGAAAGCGTCTGTGCCTTTTAATCTACCCAGAAACTGACCCGAAACGAAATTTTCTGTGAGCTCACAATGGTTTGCCAAGATGCTCCGCATGGTTAGCTTGAAAAGTATGACGCTTGAAAAGAGAAAATGCTCCTAATCTTTGAAGATATCGCCACTTAAATAGATGAAATTTGATACACTATCCAAGGTCCTAGCCTCCCATATGCAGTTCTACGTTAAAGAGTGCATGGGCGCAAATAACCAATGCCGTTGACGCGTCCTTAAAGCTCAATAACTTACTAACTAACGTTAAAGGGTAGGCAAACAAATAGATGGCTGAGCCGGCAGTGTACAATGGATGGCTGAGCCGGCAGTGTACAATGGATGGCTGAGCCGGCAGTGTACAATATATTTTAATTAAATTTAAGCATTGTTTTTTGTGTTCAATTCAACAACGAATAGAGAAAAGACGGCGTGGTCGTGAGAGAAGCCGAGCATGCGCGCTGGATTGAGCCCGTGAGGGTCCGGCCACCTCGAACTATTGACAAAAACAACAACAAAGGGAACAAGATAAGGCGGACCGTCCGCTTAACCCACATTCTAACCCCACGTCGACGCAGCCCGTACGCCGCGTCTGGCCGCGGCGACGGCCAGGCGAGGGCCCAGACAAGCCGCAGCGCCTCTACATGGCCTCCTCCACCGGCAAACTCCGGACAGCTACGGGGCGGGCCCACGAGCGGGCCGCCGCGCCCAAGCATGCATCCAGGACTCCGGACACAGCACCGCCCAACGCCGGGCCCGGTGTCCTCTCGCCGCCCGAACCAACCTCATCCAGCCTCGCTCTGTCGCTAAACCTCGACTGAGCACTGAAACATCGTGGAGCATTCATTAGGAATATGCACAGCATCATGGTAGCAAATGGCACCTTCAGTGCGATGAAGTATGAAGTAAGGACTAGGTGCATTGATATTACAGGGTGTGAATGATAACGCATTTTCCATGTTAGTGACATGTTTCATGAAAAGGATCTGTATTTTACACCTGTGGGACGAAGATTGTATTTTTTGTGTGGCCATTGTACATTGTACAAGGGGTGATCCTACACCCAAATGCGCTTGAAGCTGTTTTCACTTGGGGGTTTTGTGATCCTTTTTGCTTTTTGAAAAGTTTTTGTTATTCAGTGCAGTGTGCCATATGCAGGTGGAAACTCCAGCTATGCTATCTGATCTGCATGACGTGCATAACGTCGTATTGTAATTTTGGGGATTGGCTCATCTGCTATCTCCAAAGATTTGTAGATGCATTTCTGGTTGAATAATTTGCTGCATGTGAATCACAACATACACCAAAACTGCAATATCTTGCTGCACTTTGAAGTGAAGCACGCAATATTGTGCATAACAATCTATAAATTCATGTTAAGGATCAACTGCACTTGAATGGAACAAAACTTGTTAAGTGTACTAAAATTTATGAGGCAAACCTTGAGGATGAATAAAGTTGACATTGGTGTTGGCATTTCAGCTCCCAGTTGGTCTTTTGATGCATGTACTATATCAGGTGAAATGAATTGTTTGTGGGCATGCAGAGTGTTAACGTCTCAGTAAGACCATGCTGATTAATGCATTACCATTTTTCCAAGCATTACATATTCTGTATTGTGGTTGATAATTTTAGAATCTTTCCAATTACCTGAGTACAGAAATACATCAATATATTGCCCACATTTACTTGCCCATGGTATGTTATGCCTTAATGTGCCTGGGCTCAAAGAAAGCTCCCATTGAGTGATAGCACAACGACAAGTCAATTGCTGTTTCCGTTCCAGTGGGTGGGCGGTGGTAAGTGTTATTGCCTTTGTTGAACAGTGCTAAATTGTGGGTATCAGTAAAGTCTTCAGCCAAGTGTCCTCAGCGATCGAAGGCCTGGCTGCCGTCACCCCACGCTGGACTATGGGCGTGGAAATCATCGAGGATGGGAGAAGGGCTTCGAAATTGAGCAACGAGCTGGTCAAGTTGCCGTAAGAGCTCCGTGTTGTCATAATTTGGTGTAACGTATATAGAACATACATCGATGGTACGGCCATGCAGCTGAACTAAACATGGAACAGCCTGAAGAAGCGTGTTAAGAGTGAGTGGCCTATGCCCCTCGAAACTAGAAAAAGTAATATTTAGACTATTGCCTGCGTCTACCTATCTAATGGCATGCTCCATTAAAGGGAATGTTCCACAGTTGTATGGCGTTTTCAACTGAAATAGCCATCCTGAGGACATTTGGATGCAGTTCACGGATATGCCCTTTTTAAGATCCAAAACGCTCTGGTTCCTGAGTTACACGCCCGCAAAGTACGAAAAGGCTTATTTACAGCCAACTTCAAAATCGCCTCTTGGTTAATGACGCCATGGAAACGTCATTAGATCCCCTTGCCATAACAGGCTGTTTTTTTGTTCATGGTCAAAACAGCATGGCTGCCGATACGTTCGTAAAGGCGATGATGCTGCACATGTGGTACAGTCCGCGGATGATGATTGACTGTTAGTGAGATTTTACTGTTGAATGCGTGTCGCGAACATAAGCGTGAGCGATTTCGGATTGTGCGGCACTCGTCGACGGGGCATTTTTCCCCACGCCTAGGCAGTGTCCTATTTGCATCGGTGCGGGATGCCTACCAGGAAGTGCTGGGTGTGTGGTAATCGCAGGACAAGCGAGAATAATTTGACCGTTTTCGCGTAAGTACCTCGCTCCCAATCTGCCCAATCTGTTAAAAACACTTCATGCCGACTACGTCTGGCGTATCACTGCCATCGCAGCAATAAGTTCAGGGTATGCACGTCTCAATATCGCATGCCGTTTCGAGTATGGTGTGTGGTCGCTTTCAATTTTTGTCACAGTTTGAGGAATGGATATGCAATTATAGCAATGTCCGGCAAAAGTGCCTTCAAAAATAAAACAAAGTCAATGAAAAGCAGATGCGCGCGTCAACTGAACAGCGGGTGCAAGCGCAAGGAGCTGGGCTTACGGTTGCCACCAAGTTGAGAAATGGTTTTGTTTAAGTAGTTTATTGTTACGACAAAAGTTCTTACAGCAACAACACCATGTTAATTTCGGGAGCAATTGGCTAGGCCCATGTATGGCACATGGGCGCAGGTTTGGCGCACAAATGTTGATGTTAGGTGGGTGCGGCAGAGTTGATCGGTTTTTTGGAGTGAGAAGGCAGGGATAACAGCACTGCCACTACACATCAGCTATGTGATGCATAATGATGTGTAACAACATGTGATGTGTAAGAGCAACACCTCCACATGTCCAATATGAGTGACGACAAACATATATGCAGGGAATATTTCCTACCCATGTTGTGCGTGAAATATTGGAGTAGCTTTGTTTTTGCGTTTTTAGGTACGTTAAAATATTTATGTTTGCTTCCATCTCCTACCTTTCTCACTAAGCTCATGGAGCTACATCTTGACTATTTGATGTAACCGCTTGCGTAAACAGATATGTAATTTAAGATGAAATTTGGCAGTCAGGCCAGGACAGGGATATCAGTCTCAAAAATTATTCCTTTGTTCCAAATTATAGATATCAGTGTGCCCAACCTAACACTGAACTCTATGTGCTGTAATCAGATGTGCACTGAACTGAGTGCCCAGTTGTCATATTCCGGCAATGGCATTACTGTTTGGATGTTGGTGCCACTATTTCAAAACACTAAATTTGCTCACCATTTACTAAAATTGGTGACATTCATGCACCATGCTCACACCTCACAGAGTTCATGGGTGCATGCCCTCAGCTTGTATGGCTTATTTTTGGGATATCAAGCATTTCAACATGTGTCAGGCATCTTTGGCAGCCTACACGGTGGCTGTAGTCTGTACTGTACTCCTGATGAATTGACACTCAGTACAATTATTACAGCACACCCTGTAGGTAGATATTTTCAGTTTGTATTGCTCATTTGAAGTAGATGTCGATTGTATTGTATATTAATCCGATTTCCTAATTATTGTGGTCCTTTCAGACCCCGGCTCAACAGGCCCACGTACAGGAGTGGCTTGAAGCATGCCGCATCAGTGTCGTGGAGCCACACGTACGCGCGTGGAGCCACACATACATGTCGTGGCATACAGGAGTGGCTTGAAGCATGTCACATCAGTGTTGTGGCTCCTGATCATGAAGTGTGACAGGCACATTTTTCATCAGAAGTTTCAGACCCCGGCTCAACAAGCCCACGTACAGGAGTGGCTTGAAGCATGTTGCATCAGTGTCGTGGCTCCCGGTCATGGAGTGTGACAGGCACATTTTTCATCAGAAGTTTCAGACCCCGGCTCAACAAGCCCACGTACAGGAGTGGCTTGAAGCATGTCGCATCAGTGTCGTGGCTCCTGGTCATGAAGTGCCACAGGCACATTTTTCATCAGAAGCTTTCTCCAGCCTATCAGCTAAAATGAAAAGGCTGGAGGCCAATGCTGTGCCATCTCTGCAGGTTTGTGAATGGCTGGGGTTTCTTTATTTCTTTTTTGCCAGACCCTTCTTATATAGCCTTGGCATTCAGGCTTGAACTTAGTTAACATACGAACACACATGAAATTTCTGTGACCATCTTTTGTCTCATTGATTTCCATGTCCTCTTCTAGTAATTGTTCACTCATGCATTTCAGAGTGGTGCCTTTAAACAAATGTCTGCCAGTTAGAATACTGTAAAATGCATGGCAAGGCATTCAGCCATTTACAGGGCAGTCATGCTTTCAATGTAGCATTGAGATAGATTTATGATGTGTTGGTCTTAAATGGTGTAATATTAATGGTTCATGTTTCCTAAGTTGGCTGAGGTTTTCATTTCTGACGTCAACATTCATACGATGTAAGTAAAACATTGTTCTGTGTTATGCTTGGAGCACATGTCATAGTGCTGTCCTATAACCTGTACATTGTGTCGCAGCTCTATTCGTTGTTAATCTTACTGATAATGACTGATACTGAATACTGAATTGTTTTCAGCACAGAGAAGGTGTTCCAGACACTCCAGTACTTCCAGCGTCTACACCATCTCTAAGACCAGAATCTAGGTCAGCGTGTTTTCTTGTTTAGTTGAATTTTGAATGTTAGTTTACTTTTTGAGCAAAAAGATTGTAATTTATCTTAGAAACAATACCAAAAACTGAATGAAGCAGTGGCATAAAGATGGCATAATGGCATAATGACATGGCATGGCATAATGAATGATTTTGACGTTGTCCTATAATAACCGTAGCATGCCAAACACGAGGCACTTTGTAAGACCTATAGGGACTATAAGACGTATAAGACCTATAAGGACTACATGGCACACCTAAAGGACTAAAGGGACTAGCAGCCCAATATCTGTCTCTAATAAGCCAAATTGCACATTTTCGTGCAGTACTGCACAGACAATGCTGTATAAGACACTAATGCAGCTTGTTTGCTCCAATGCTCTAAAGCCAGAGGGGAGTTATCAATATGTCCCCACCTGAGTTGTAGTCATCGTCATAGGTATGTCTCCACGGCTGCAGTCTATTACAATCTCCATATCACACTGTTACGTTCCAGACTCTTGGCAACAAGAAAGAAGCTGGTGGTATTCAACAGCACATACATGATCCTTCGACGTGCGATGCGAAAGGCCGGCTTGCGAACAGTCAAGCGTACTATCCTGCATCTTGCTAAAGGGTAACCATTGGTTTGTTCAGGCAGCAAAATGCTGTTAAAACTACACAACCTTGCACCGTGCAGTGTGTGCACAGCTTCAGGAGCACTGCTTGTATGTATTGCACTTGGCTATGATTGTTTTACAGGCGCCTAGGCCTACAAGGAAGATGTTGTCACCCATTATTCTATGCAAATTTTCTCGTATCTCAAAGATCTTAATAGTACGATGTGAGTTGTTCCAAACATGCTGCACCTTACCGGTGTGAATGAAATTAGACTTTAGCACTTAATTCCGAGCCTGTGAATGGCGTTTGCCATCTGCACGATTTTAGTAAGTACCGAATAAATTCGCAGCTTTCAGTCATGTTCATCCTGTGCTTCTCCTGTTTTGCGTTTTTAAACAGTGTTTCACTTCACTACAGGTACCTGAAGGAACCTGATGGCGGCGATGGCGGCAGGGGGCATGCCAGCGGCTATAATATGGGTGGCGATGGCGACACGGGTGACGCTGCTCACTTGGCCATGCCGAGTACATCATGGGCGTTTCATGTGCCGATGTTAGTACTGTCCTCTAATGGTGTGCACGTCTCTTTGCTTATTAAGAAAAATTGATAACATGATCGGAACAATTTCTGTTGTGATGTAGGTCTCCGGCGCCGGGTCAGGTGACCCGTCAGATCACTTGGCGGGTCACCAGCTGACTCGTGCCCGAGCCCGCGGGGCAGCGGTAATCCGGTCGCTCGTGCGCGCGCGCATCGCTGTCGTGAGGTTATGTACGAGCCAAGCTCGTAAGATCCCGTCGGTGAGAACAAAGCAACTTCAACGCTGTTGATTTCAAGCCAGTGTCAATGCTAGTTAATGGCAATGATGGGTAATCAGCTTGTCACCAAGGCTCCGTACATTTCTTCGCGGATTGTGGTCAGCCCTCTCGAACAATGCATATGACCTCCATAAGCTGAAGCCTTAAGCTAAAGCCAAGTCGAAGCGTGATGTTTCCACCGCTCTTTATCTTTTGCTTGCAGAACCTCACAGGCTACTAAGGAGCCAGCCGACGTTGCATGGACCCCGAGCGCCTTCACACCCGGCGGCAGTCAGGGCTCGGCATGGACTCCCGACCATGCAACCATTTTGGACGCAGCAGCGGAGCTCGAGCAGATGTACGATGACGAAATTACTAGTGAACTTGCACTACGTCATGTCACTCAGCTTGATGCGTGAATGTACTGTTTCGTCACAACATGATGATGTTGTAGACGCATGTAGAAGTCCTCACTTGTTTCCATATCGCTTAGCTGTGGTATGGAAAGATTTTAACGCATGTCATGCGTATTGCACTACCATGGTCTTTCTTCAGGTGTTTTCTCTTTGGTATTCTCGCGTTTGTGGCTCTAAAGCATACATTCCCAAATCTGAAGAATGCCGCAAGCCCATCAGGCGACGTTCCTGCTGGTGCTCTTGCTTATCATATCATAGTACGGACCTGTTTCCAGTGATGCTAACGTGGAGGTGGAAACCGCGGAGGAAGAAGATGTGAACGTCGGAGCGACGGAGGAGGACGGCCGTCCTTGGGGCACCCGCAGTGCTGGCATCTCCGAGCCTCAGCTGCGGGAGCTGGCCGAAGCCGCCGCGGTGCTCTGCACCCGTTGCGGTGCTAGGTGCGACGTGAACGTCACTCGCATCACCGTATCGTTCACGGTCACATGGGTGAGTCTCAGTTAGGATGCTGTCAGAAATGCACATTGATATCAGTGACCAGAATAAATTTGAAAATGACTTGTCTTCCTTTTTTTATTGCATTCTAGCAACGTTGTACAGTGTGCTAGTTTTTGTTCTTTTTTTGCAAGCTGTGCTTGACGTAATTGACTTCAATACTTGACTTTACGTCACTCACACATCACTAGCTGCGGGCAACGTAAGTTGTGCGCAGTGGTTTTCACCATTTCTTAGTTATTTACGTCTTTTTAGTTCCGTATTCGTCAAATAAATGCCCATCTATGCTTGAAACTATATTGGTGTAAGCCATAGCATGATCGGTGCTGTAAGTATTGGCTGCCAGAGGCCTGTCGCATCTGCAACGTCCTGGTTGTGACGTCACGCTGCTACTCGTGCGGAGATGCATGCCGCTTTCATGATAGGCTGGTATTTCAATCTTTTTTTTTGGCTATCTGCCTTAGGAATGCAAAGCATGTGCCACTGTCACCAATAAGTGGGTGTCAATGCCGAAGGAGGGCCACACAATGATCAGCAACACGCTACTTGCTGCGGCCGTCGCACTCAGTGGCAGTCATCTGGAAAAGCTGAACAAGTTATTGGCCTTCGCAAACATAGGGCACCTCAGTCGGACGGCGTACAGCCGTATCACACAAAAGGTTGTAGCACCAGTAATTGAGGAGTCGTTCAACAAAACTCTGACTGAAAATCGAGAGGCGGCTCTCGCGGCATCACTTCATGGTCTTGTCGTTGCTTGTAAGTCCCCATGGCTGGGCGATAACCCCAATGTATGTGCTTCTGTACTGGGTGCACCCTGTCCGACTCACTTCGCCTCGATTTGGCACGATGCGGCGCGTCCATGCTTTTCTCCACGTCTTATTACGCTCGTTCTGATCGCTGTACCCGCACTTAGTAGGCTGTCCAGTACGGGAAACCGACGAACGCTCGCTCTGTGCAACCAACATTTGTCACGAGTTGTTCGGTATCCGAAACTGCCCATGCCCCCTGGTAGGAAGTTTGACGCGTCACTGTACAAGACATACCTGTTTGCAGCACTGCTATCTGCTTACAGCCTGTTTTCGACGATCACCCGAGTGGTGGTAACAAACCACTCGGAAAGAGTCCAGGTAGCAAAACCATCTCATCTGATGACAAAGATCATACTGATGTGAAAGATCGTGTTTTCCGCCTCAGGTGACCGCCAAAGTGACGGCCCTGGCTTCTCGGCGTCATATGGGTGCTACACCATAATGGGCCGCACAACTGGCCACATCATAGCACAGGTATGGCAGTCAGCATTCGCGTAATGATTTCTCCGGGAATGTCTGTCCGGTGAGCACTGGCGATTTACCGATCAAATTCGGGTGCTGTCTGTGATGGGTTAAACTGAGACCAGAAGTTTTATGGGGTGCCTTTGGTATACATTGTTAGGCTATGGTACGTCAAGGCAGTCAGTTCCTAACATCTGAATGACACAGATATCCATTTTTGAGATGTATTCTGGTTAGAATTTCGCTTACAACTTATTCACCATAAAACATCTGTGTACTCACCGTGGTCGTTGCATGGCCAATCGTAGTCGACGCGCCCGAAAGCTCCAAACCGTCGTGGACATCCAGCATTTCCATTTGTGTTGCCAATGCTGAGCCATTTGCAAACGTGCATGCACACAGAACACTGTGTGTCGTGAGGAGGTCGGCTTCTCCAGCCCGGAACTGGAGATGGAAGGTCTGTCACGCTGCCTTAGCGACCTCCAGTCACTGCCCATCAAGGAGTTCATATCTGATCAGCACTTGGGTGTCGGGAAGGTTGTCAGCAAGTCGAACACAACGGCGACGGTTGTGATAAGTTATCAGTCAGACTTGCTTCGTAGCCTGTCACCAGCTGTTTTGTTTTCTTAGGCTCTGCGTTTCCTCCTGTGTTTCCTGTTTTCTCTATCAGTCATGTGTGTTGCACTAAACGCTGTATGGCCATATTGGTAATCACAACATTCGGAAATGTTTCGGAGACAAACTGATGATTCGGAGACATCCTGATGATTCGGAGACAAACTGTCCCTCGCACTGAAATAGCTATCTTGTATCGGATCGTTGGCATGGAGATCGAAGTCTTAATGTCATCATCACCTTCGCCACTTTAGGGCAACGTCCACCAGAAGTGCAGCACTCGTATGACGTCTGGCACGCTGCAAAGAACGTGGCGAAGTGCCTGCGCCAACATGCAGCGAGGGCTCCAAACCGGACGCTGGGACCTTGGGTGCGCCACGTCAAAAATCACTTCTGGTGGTGCGCCCAAACATCACATGGATACGTCGACGTGTTCAAGGTAACAATGTCGCATTGCAGCATTGGGGGCCATCAACTGAATACACCTGGGGCGTGCCAGATAAGAAAAGTGGCACGATATTGACTCGCACGGGGCATGGCAACGCACGTGGGGCTCGTTGTCGTTGTGTGACAACCCACTGCTGCAGAAAAAATTCAACACAATTCATGATTATTATGTAGAATAATCGCGAATCTGGGTACGACGCAAATGCCCCCAAAGTCCGATAGCATGCTGAACATGTATCTAGCACATTCAGTTTCGCTGTGGCTCCGGTGTTTCTGTCATGTGGCTTCCTTACTTTACCTAGCACACCCAATGCGTCGTAAATGCATCACCCCAATCCAGGGGATGGGGGCATAGGACAGCCTATTCAGTCCCATCAGATTGCAGCCTTTGTATTTCTTCTTCAGAAGCGGTGGATGATGATCATGAACCACGTGGTAAACATCCACGCTACACTCAGCGGCCTCAACCGTTGTCACCATGATGACCTGCCGGAGGGCGAGTCCCGGGACCCGCCGTGGCTGCTGCCGGGATCTTCGGCGCACAACGCCCTGTGGGAGGTCGTGGCTAGCTACCGCACACTGAACCTCGCTGCCTTCGTAGTAAACTACAGGTGTCTGAATAAGTCCCCGTGTTCCCAGTCGTACGGCTTTCCTACGATGTCGTCTTCTGATGCGTTAAGTTCTGAATAAGTTCCTTCGTTCCCAGTCGCACAGCTTTCCTACCATGTCGTCTTCTGATGCGTTAGATTTCGGTATCCAGGGCATCTAGCCAATGTACGATGAACAGTTTAAGTAAAACCCGCTCATTAGTTCGACGTTTTGAATGGATGGATTTCTGGGACCAGCGCTCACGCTAAGCAGTGCTTGTTTGAACCCTGACCTTCACCATCCGATAGCACGATTTCAGGAAACGGCGGAATTTAATGGTGAACGTTTAACGTGCCGCAATGCTCGGCACGGTCCGTCCTGCCCTCTGACGTCAACTGACCTTTATCACGACTGCTGCCACCGGACACAGGCCATACCTGTCCAGGGCAAATAGTGAGCGCCCTAAAGCGACTCGAGCCCACCCGCCACGGGTGGGTGGATCGAAAGGCAGGCGCTCTAACCAACTGAGCCACCGGGACGGACAAATTCCTGATTACTGACGTGCTACTGGGAACAGAGTTGTCGCTTTGGCGGTGCTGCATGTACTTAAATTGCTGTCGTTGGTTGCAAAATTGCGGTACCAGCAGCGGTGATATTTGCATCACGGCTAACACTGCACAGACCACATCCGGCATGCCTGAAATCATCATGTGACGTTCGTGCGTCACACTTAGTGTATGCATCATTGCAGACACACTGGCAACCTTGAGGTCTTTCACGCAGCCAGCCTTGTGTACGCTCCAAAGCTGACATACTTCGCGTAGGTTTTAAATGGCATGCGTTCAGTTACGATGATCTTTTCCTTTTGGGACAGCGCCTGGTCTAGGTTCTTCCTGACTGGCCAGCCGCTACAATCGCAACATGTCAGCGGCTTCAACAATGCCCCTGTTTCTGTCGTATCCAAAGCCATGCCATGATTCACAGTCATAATTCTGATCTTGTCAGTATGCGCTTTTGCGCGGTGCTGAGCACGACATATACGTAACATATCTTGTTACAGGCCTCCCAACTTTGTTACCCGGAAGCGCGCAGCTGTGCTGGACTGGTCCGCACATCGCAGCCGAAACTATGCCCGGGACGAGGGAGCGCAACGTCAAGTGAGCAGTCATTCACTGCAGTGTTTGTGTCTCGCTGTGAGGTAGTGCCGGACGTGGCGTCACTGCCCTCAGCCACCACCCGAAATGGAATGAATGCGATGTACCTAGCGGTGAATCCCATTGGCGTTTGTCCGCCTCAGTTTGTGGGTCTGTCTTAGTACACATGGCGCCGTGGGTGAGTGCGAACAGCTGTGTTGCTCGCTGTTTTTCCAATGGCTGGGATGGCCTGCATTTGGTGGCAGTGGCGGCTCAAGGCCAGTTGATGTCAAAGGGCAGGGTGGACTCTGCCAGGCGGTGCGGCACATGAAGGAACACCATGCAGTCGTCTGCGAACTGTACGCTCACGATCAGACGGTGTGCCCAGGGTGATTACCATGTTTTTGTTATTTTGGACACTGATGCCATAAATTAATTCATGAGAAACGGTGTGGGCAAGACTAAAAACTGCTATCATTTCACTGCTTGCAATTGCTTGGCGACAAGTCATTTCTGCACTATTATGCTGTGTTGTGCTTGCTTTTATTTTCTTGTTTTTGCCAGACATCTTTGTTGGACGGTGTTAGTCAGGCTAGTTAGAAGGTAACGAAAAAGTCGGGGTGATGAATGTCAATATGAATAAGTTATGGTCCAACTGTGTCGCATGGTTCCAGAACGTCTCGCGTCTCCAGCCGTGTCTCTGACCAGTACATCCCACGGCCGGTGAAGACGTCCAAGACCTTCCCGCACGCGCGTCCGCCCCTGGGGGCCATCGTGGACAGGCGTATGCAGGTCACCATCACCGGTCCGTCGGAGCACTCCGGTATGGCACACCCGCTTGTGCACCGCGGACCCCGGGCAGACGAAAGCCGGGAGAGCCCGGGGGACAGTCGCTCCCGGCACAGCCGATTCGAGTAGCTTTTTTGTAATTTGCCACACCATTGTCATGTCGTGTCGTGTCATGGTTGCTTTGTTTTGTTCTGTCATATACGCTGTTTTGTCATTTGCCAAGACTGCTAGCCCAGCTTTGCTTACCCTGGTGGACGTAATGCGATGTTTATGAAGGACCGGAGGCTCCTGATGAATTGCCACGTCAGGTTTGTGGGCGAGCGACAGGTCAGTTTTCATTATCGTTGGGTGCATAATCACCGAAGATGTGTGTGTTTCTTTGTTACTTACGTTTTGTGGATTCGGACAACAGGCTGAACAAGTGACTCCGCTTGGTTGTGTGCCCTGCAGAAAGCGATATGTGCATTGCATGGGGGTGTTTTTGGCCCATGATACATAGGATACAGAGTTAATACAGGAGTGCACGCTTGACCAGTTTTGTCACCTTGTAATGTATTGTGAAGGCAGGAATCGCAGCACAAAAACTTGGTATCATTGTTCGGTACGCCACGCACAATACGACACTGGGGTAGCGCCACAATGACGTCGTTGGCGTTGACGCGCGCGATTACACAATGCACTACGTTGATTGGCTAGTCTCCATCCGTGAGATGACAGCTTGTAATTTATGAATGACTGATAGCAACTGATCTAACGCCATGCCAGAGTACTATCGCCAGCAAAAATGCGGTTTCATCACAATGGTTGCCAGGGATGACTAGCGATCCTGAGCAAGAAAGACATTCTGGGTTGTCCATGTGCCACCACTGTACGCCATGAGCCGTTTGTCCACACTGTCTGGGTTGACATGGAGCATTATCTTAAGCTGACATGAAAGACATTCTTGGTTGCGTCCCTGTACATCGCTCATTGTAGTATTGGTTATACTTGTTTACAGCGTTGTCTTGGTTAAATACTTGTCTACTAAATATTGGTCTTGGTTAGAGCACTGTCTCAAGGTACTGGAAGCCGACATAAATGTCGGCCGGGTCCGGCCACTTTTGTCGGAGAGCCGACACTACGCAGGCCGAAACCAGCCGGCGCACGCCTCGGCCGGGCCGGCCCCATCTGTCGACAGCCAGGTTGACAGAGTATCACCACATACCACTCCAAAACTGGAGCACAGCGGGTGATTTACGGCTGAGTGGTAACAACTAGACACCTAATACAGTTATAGTGCAATGGGCTATGGCGTGATATCTGCCGTTACACCCCTTTTTCACTCAAAGGGACAAGTACGTCGCACGTCGTCATGCCCCTTGCATAGAGCACCAGCGATTGCATTGGCTGTATTAGTGCTCAGAGCCTATGACGTAACGGGATTTGAACCCGCCTCCCCTC